TGGAATAATTTTTATTGACTACCTTGTGAAAAGGTATAATTTGTGAAAGGAAAGACCATCAACATAGACTACTACATAGAGTTATGGGACCGCTTGAAGGACGAAATCACTGAAAACCACAAAACAATTTCCGAGTACTTTGTCCTACTGTACAATACTTTTCGTTATTCTGAATGAGAATGAAATTATTACGATGAAAGCTCTCTAACACTACATAATATAATATAATATAATGTGGTATGTTTCTTTGGTTGGCTTATTCGTCAAAAATGTGGGTTTAATATAAATGAAATCCATTCATTCTTATTAATTTAATAATTGCAAAATTTACATTGACTTTGCATTACTGACATAATTTATTGTCAATATAAGTCCTTTGCTAATCTCTATGTGTAAAGTGGAATTATTATTATCGTCGGACTTCAACGTCATAAAAAAAAAAAAATATCATTGCTGTGTGTATTTGTACTTAAGCCCCCACAATGTAACCTCAATAAGACTTTGCAACAAAAGTATAATTTTGAATGGCGCACAAATCGGCGATTCCAACTGCCAGAATTTTCATTTCACCAAATCCATTACGCGAATTTCTGCAGCCACCGCCACTAATTATATATTACTTATGTAATGGTTGTATGAAAGATATTATGAAACAATTGTGAGCGGCAACAATACAACCGATATATTCGTATATAGCGTGAGTACATATATACATGTATGATTTACATGCAGGTACATATATTTATATGGTTTATGCAGTGAGTTGTTGGCGTGTCTAAAAATATACATCTCGCGACCGAAATTCAAAAATCCCAAACAAATTGCATGGATGACACAATTCGCTGTTCAGTGTCATAAAGCATTAGTAAAATTTGAAACCAAACACAAAAGTACAACCAAAAATTAAAAAAAAGAAACACACACACAAAACCGTACAGTGCAAGATAAAATAAAAAGGTACAAGCGAAACAAATGAATTGGCGCTCGCCAAAAAAATTGGTGCAAAAATGTCAAAAAATATTCAATCTCGCGCACTCGAAAAATTTTTCAAATAGACGCTTGGAAAAATAATTAATTTCGCCTTTGTGACTGACACATGCGACAATTTGTTGTGTGAGACCGCAGCGAGTGTCGGTGATTAACGCAACGGATGTTCGTGAAGGGGCGTGACGTACGTGGACTAACTCAGCCTTTCAAATTGTTTTTGCGTAAATAAATAAATTCAATGAAGTGACTGCCTAAAAACTTTCGTTTATTGAGTGATTGCAATAAACAGTATTATTTTGTATATTTGTATAAATTTTTTAAAACAATACTTGTTGTATTTATAATGCTTTTTATTAAACACTAAAGTTCTTGAAGAAGGTATCGTTGAGTTTTTTAAGTGCTATATTTTGGAAATATGGTCACAATAACCATTTCATTAGCCTTTTTGTTTCTATTCCTTCGCTTAAATATTTCGACGTTTTGAATATGGCAACCAAAATAGCCAAATAAAATAGAAATTTTAAGCGCAACGCTTCCGTTTGTAGACACAGCATGCTTTTAGGCGCCAGCCTTGTGGAAATCAAGTGAATTTTATTGTTAAAATTAGTGATGAATCAAAAAGTATTGCTGCTGAAGGTTCTAGAGCTAGGTGAAAAATTAATGAAATTTAAAAAAAAAATTTTTTTTGAATAAAAATTGAAGAGAATTTTCATATAAGTTGTAGATATTTTAATATTTTGTTTAGATATAATTTAATATTATTTACACATCTGTAGCAACATATCCAATCTATCATATCAATCAATCAAATCATTAAAAAGGAGATACGTTCTATACGCATTAGAGCGGGTCGATTTTTTCCATGCAAACGCGTTTGAGAGATATGTTCTACGGATCATTCTGAACAACTTTGCCTAAGAGACCGGGTTTGAGCCAGCGAATTTTAAGGTGAAGTTTAAATATCTGATTAATAGTTTGTATGGCAGATATGTGATATAGTTATTTGATCTGGCCGATGCCGACAAATGGCCAATAGAATATCAATATAGTAATATTAGTAAAACAATAATAGTAAATAGAAATTTCTAGGAAGTAAATTTGTTGCCAGCCATTCTCTGACCTTTAAAAAATCGCTTTATGTTCACCTTACAGCAATTTTTTAAAGGAAATAAATTTTGTTTTTTTCTTTTTTCGAAGGGCTACCGGAGATGGTATCCTTTTTTCCAAAAAATTATGTAAAATAAAAACAGATTTTCTTTGCTAGTGTGTATGTTTGTGACACTAAAAATTTCTAATGAAATTTCTAATGAAATATTTATTGTTTTTCTATTAGAAAAAAATTGCTGAAAAAGGCTGTTTTTACCCAAGGAAACCCATGTTACCCCCTTAAGGGAACCAACATAGATTTTGAAAAATAAATTAAGAATTTATAATTATGAACATAGTCTTATTATTTTTTGCCCATAATAGATAGTTTGTGTTCATTGTGAGTGTACACATAGTAGGCCAATATGTAAACAGGTTATCCAAAGCGTATCCGTCAAATTTCACTTTCTCCCATGAGTGACACAACTGACACACCAATTGATATTTTGGGAAATGATATCAATTGCACTGTCTATTAACCCACTTTCTGGTAGCGCGCAGACGCACGGTGGATACATCCATCATCGTTTTCATATGAACACTGCCCGCTCGCAACTAAAACAAGTCGCATTCACTTAAATTGTTTGTGATTCTCGATATTTTCACACATCTACACACGCTTTGACATTGAATTTAGGGTTTTATTGTTATTCACTGTCGGTTGTTTGTTGTTTATATTTACAGAAAAATGGTCGAATATACATGCACGCCTACATACAAGCGTATATTGTCATCAGCACAACTATTTGTGTGCCCAATGTGCTCATATACATAGTACATACATACATCACACATATAAATGCATTTTGGTCATGCACCAACGGTAAAAACAGCGGTCATTAATTTTATGTGAGAGCAAATATGTATTATTTTTTGAGTATTTTGAAAATTATTTTCTGTAGAACTTTTGGCGAAAACACGTCATTGTTAATTAAAGCCAATATTTTTTCAGCACACACAATATTAGTTGCCGAGCACGAGAATCAATATTTCAGGCAGAATGCGTTTACTTTCGTATAAAATGAAACAGGCGGTGATTGGCAAAAAAAAAAAAAAAAAAAAAAAAAAAAAAAAAAAAAAAAAAAAAAAAAAAAAAAAAAAATGCTATTAAAATTGTTGACGTAAAATATGTGGTATTGAATTCCATGTATAATGTCTAATTAAACAAGAAGAAGCGTTAACATAGGCTGCTTCGATAATACTTATATGATTCACAAATTCAAAATATGCCACTCAACAACTAAATTTTGATCGGTCAGTTTGTATTGCAGTTATATGATATAGCGATCCAATCTGAACAATTTCTTCAGAAGTTGTACTTTCATTACTTCAGACAATAACTCGTGCCAAATTCCGTGAAGATATCTTGTCAAATGAAAAAGTTTTCCATATAAGGATGTGATCTTGATGGTTCAGTTTGTATTGCAGCTATAATTGTTTGATAAGTGATCCGATACTACAAACGAACAGCTTCAAAGGCGAAAAGAAAGTGTGCAAAGTTTAAGATTGGTGTCTCAAAAAGTTGTTGTTGTGCGATAGATTTGTGATGAAGCACTTTTCTGGCCTATCCGGTTCGTGAAAACTACCAGGAGCGCCAACCAACCTGAAAAAGACTATTCACACTTCCGTCCAGCACAACGGTTCATGAAAAATGGTATCCTTAAATATCTCTTTTACTACAAAAACGATCGCAATAAAGCGGAACTATATTAATTCTTTCAAGCCAAGTGATATTTGAGAAATACATATGTAAAGTTTAAGTAGGAAATTATAGTATAAATAATCACCTATGCTGAACTACTGTTTTGATATAAACATCCAAAAGATTTTCGGTAAAATCAATTTATTTTATTCAAAATAATCTCCTTCTGCTTCAGTACAACTTTCTGTACAGTCCAAAAGCATAATTGGTCACAAGCGTCGATCGATCGGAGCAATTTTTGGTCTTCAGTCAATTTGTGCAGAATAAACCGTGCTCACACCTTTCGTAACCCCAAATGTTCCGTCAAAATGCGATAAATTGATGTTTCGGAGAAGTTCAATTCCATTTCCATGAATTTCAATGATGATTTTTGCTAATTTTTGATGAATTCATGCACAGTTTCGATGGAATTTCCGGTGATCACGGATTTTGATTGGCTCACATATTGATCGTCATTTATGTCCTCACGACCACTTTAAAAACGTTCAAATCACTCGTGTACTCTGCTACGGGATAGGTAATCATCGCCATAAACTTGTTTCATCTATCATGAAACGTTTCGGTAAAAGTTGTACTAATTTTAAAATAAAATTTAAAGTTGGCTCTTTGTTGGATGCTCATTTTCGCACCGATAACACAAACATAGTGACATTAAAACGCAATCACTTCATTTCCAATCTATGAAATATCAAGCAGTTCTCACTGAACAATCGATAAAGATAGCAGATTCTAACGCACCAGTCGACATGTAGATGGCGCCATCATAAAAGCAAATGAGAATACAAATTTCTTTCTGTTTTCTTGTATTTCTGGAACTCAGGGTTTAAAATTAATTGTAGCAATTTACAGAAAACCAAACTAAATGTTTACAGCAACGTTTATTTAGCCCGAAAAAATATCTTTCCAAACAAGAACAAATTATAAGAGAGTAGTGTCTCAAGTACTGAGAGTAATGCTTGGCGAATTGAAGGTAGGTAGTCTTTTTAATATTCAGTAATAGTTGTATACCAAATAGTTGGTTGGTAGTACTCGAGATATCTCAATCAATAATAGGTCTGCGTTTTCCATTAGCTTTTTGCAAACAAAATGAATATAATATTCATTCAAAGCAAATGTCACTTCACACAAAGCAAAATAAGCAATAGAGATTCAAAACAGTTGTCGGTTCTTGATTTTCATTTTATAATAACGTAAATACTTTATTTAAAGGATATGTATGTATGTAAGCGTGAATATATGTTAAGAGATATAAATCTTCGTTATTTGACACAACGTCGTTTGGTATTTTGAAATACTCGGATTCGTATCAATAAAAATGAATATAATACAAGATAAAAAGGTGTTCGTGTGGGTTTGTGTCTTTTGGAACAATTTGTATTTCTTCATCGGATTTCGTTTAATGTCGCGCTGGCGGRAAGCAGATACGCTTGCTTGCTTGGTATCAATGCGACTGCATTTTGGCATGAACTTAACACATATTAATGTATATATTTTCAAGTTGCTTTATGCTAGGTGTAGTAGGTGCAGGAGCGGGTGCAGTGTGAGGCTATTTGAGGTTTCGTTTTTTTCGGACTTTCTTTTCAACTATGAGTCTGTCTAAAGAAAAGATAAAAATATAAAAAAGAAATAAATAGAAAAAAATTTAAATTAAAACATAAAGTAATTAAAAATCATGAAGACAAATTAAACAAGATGTCACCAACATACGACTACGAGGAAGAGAAGCAGGAAACGAGTGGCGTCAACACTTTATAGAAAGCAAATCGTACAAACACAAAGGCATACACATACATAGATGACACACAGATTACTTGCAGCGTTCATTAGAAAAGCGGATAGAAATTAGCATCCTTCAGTATATCAAATGTATCCACGGTGGTTTTTGTTGTAGTGGTGGGAGTTATAGAGGAGCGTGTGGCCACCGTTACTATCGCTTCCGGTGTAGTTGTAGCTGCTGCTGGTGTTGTTGTCAAAGCATCAGCTGCTGCCGAAATTCGCGCCTCAACAGCGGGCGTGTCGACTTCTTGCTGCTTGGGCGAGCCTTCAGCGGAAGACGCGGCACTGTTCAGCTCCTTTAGTTCGGGCGTTTCGTAGTCTAAGGAACTGCTCGGCGTGCAGATGCTATTTTGTGGACTCAGCGTAGCAAGTGGATTAATGCTGATTCTGCCTGGTGAGACTGCTGCTGACGCTGTTGGCACTTTGACAGTTAAATCGAAATAAGACGAACGCTCAGCGCCCTCCGCCGCAAACTCCTCTTTAATGTCCGATTCCGTTGTGGCAAATGTTTCCTTTGTCTTCTTACGCTTTTTGAGTTTCTTCTTGTTGTTAACTGTTGCTGTTGAATTGTCCAGCAGATTATCGGTTGGCTCTTCGTCAACAATACTACTGCGCGGTGAGAATGGGGCGCCATTTGTCTCCTCGTTGGTCAAACTATTCCTGGAGTTGCGGCGAGAGCGCGCTTTTATGCGTTTGAGTGAATCGGTTTCAGTACCACCACCACTTTGTATGCTACTGTGGTTGTGTGACTCAGAGTCATCATCATCTTTCGTGACAAATTCGATGCTATTGCTTTTTGAATCCTTGCGTAATTTCTTTTTACTTTTCTTTTTCTTGGATTTACCCAGAGATGATTCTGCTGCTTCCAACTGCAACGTTTCATTTAACTCATTTGAGCACTCTTTCTCCTCCGCTATGGTTTCGGTGTTCTGTTGATCCTCATCAGCGACATAGCACACGCCTTCCGCACCTTGGCTAAAAAGTGTTATGCTCTCGCCACCAAGGCTAAATTTACGCGAGTCCAAATATTGATTTGTATTGTTCATGTTATCAGGCGTCTTGATCTCCTCATCGAGACATTGTGTTTTGTTGGAGTTCTCCTCATCTTCGTCAATTTTGAAATTCTTGCGCCAGTTATACTCTCTTTTTGGCGTATAACTAAGGTCTACTTCGATGTCTAAATCTTCCATACCCTTAACATTCAGCTGCGGTGCATAGCCGTAACGTGTGCGCAACCGCGTAGACTGTCGCTCAGCTACACTTGCATCGCCCAGATAACGCTGTTCACGCTCACGGCGCTCATTACGTATCAGTTTCAGTTCGTTTCTCTTATTGGCTGCCTTATTCGCACGATCGGAATCACTGGTACCGCTCACATCGCCTTCACTGCCATCGGCTGAAATCTCTTTATTCAGATAGCTCTTTTGCATTTCATTTAAAATGCTATCATAATCGCGTAGTATACCCGACTGTTTTCGATTTTTGATTGCCTCATCGTAGATCTCGTCAATCGCCGCCGAATCTGAATCATAGTCTAATGCCGAAATAGTACCACCAACGGCGCCTTCCTCATTAGCCAGCAAGATCTGATCTTCTAACAATTCGTCGATATTTTCGACACGCTGCCAGTCATCGGCATCTCTGCCGGCGTAATGATCCATCTCGCGCTCTGCTTCTTCGCATTCGGATTGTTCGTGGTGGGACTCATCGGCTGGACCACGTTCGTTAAAATCACAAATGTCCTCATCGATTTCATCGTCTACTTCGACCACTGTTTGTCGCTCATCTTCGCTACCATCAGTTTCTTCGTCCTCCGCAACCTGAAGTTGTTCATCTGCAACTTCATCATAAGCGCCTATTGTGGGTCCAATATTTACATTACTTTCTTCTGCGAAAAAATTTAACTTATCAAAATCTTCACTATAGTAGTCTTCTCTTATCCATGTGCGTGTACCGCTAGGCGTTTGCACTTCGATTTGTGACACATAGACGTAATCATCATTCGGATATTCTTCAATCGACTGCTCCTGATTCAATGAGAAACGTCGGAAGTGGTGATAATTTTCGGGTTCTAATTCAAAATCTTCTTCAAGCTCCTGTAGTTGAACTATAATTTCCGGTTTTTGTATAAGCGCTGAGTCTGAAGCTCTGCGTTCATTATCCAAGAAACCAGCATTTAGATATCGCGAGAAATCTTGAAAATTAACATTTGCCTTTTCCAAGTCGACTTTTCTGTCTTGCAACTCGCGCTTTGTTGCTTCTTCCTCAATTTTTGCCACTTCTTTAGCTTCAATGTCGCCCAGCGGCGAACGGCTTTGACTACGAGATCGCTGAAAATTTGCATTCATTCGTCGCAGTTCTTCGTACTGCTGCCTTTCTTTTGACTTGGTATCTCGCAACTCTTTGGGTTTTGCGCCCAAATGTTCCTCAACTGCAACCTGTTCTGAGGCTGAAATTAGTTCGGCCAAAATCTTATCCTGTACTTGGCGACGTTCTCCCGCTTTTTGAGCTGGCTCCGTAGCAATAAGTGAGGGTGATGGACTGCGTGAGCGTCGGAAACGCGCTGTCTGCTCGCGTAGTGGCACAAATTCACTTCCAAGATCCCATGACTCACCAACATAGGTGGAGCGTTTAAATCCACTTACCAACATTTCATCCTTTATGCGCTGCACATCACTCCACTCTTGCGATATGGTGCGATCGTAATCGGGTGTCGTCGGTGAGCAACGTAGTTGGCGCATACGTTCGTCGACGGGTAATGCCATCAACTTGACCTTATCTGTGGGTGGAAGTGGTGATACTGGCGTCACTGTGCGAAGCTCTATTTCTTCGCTGGCGTTACTCAATTTACGTAAGGCATCGGCGTCCACTTGGCGTTGCTTTTCAGCCAGTATGCTCTCTATTTCTTCACTGCACTTAGCCAATGTACGATTTTGTGAGGCTTCTAGGTTTAACATCACGTGAAAATCGACTTCTTCAACTGGCTGTGATGGAGAATCCATATTAACGCGTGTGGGAGAGACTGAGACTGAGCGTGATGGCGTTCGTGACCTACGTTCATGTTCATCGTCGTCTTCATACGTTTGATTTGCTTCCATTATACCCACGCGTATACTGCTCGGCTCAGGCGTGCGTTCGCGTTCAAGACGTCGCATCGGTGATTTGGACCGTGAACGTTGTAAGCGTAGTGACTCGACCAAACTATTCATACTTTCTAATGAGTATTCACTTTCTTCCTGCGCAGTATCTGGAGTACTTCCTGTGAGCTCTTCATCACAACATTGTATCGATATAACCGGTGCCGTAATTGCTTTCCTCTGCTCTGAAGTATTATATGAGTCCTGTGTAAAAATTGGTATATTGATATGAAGCTGTTGAAAAAGCTCATCGTTGTGTTGTATTTTCTTCTTCCGTCGCTGTTCCAAACCAGTTCTTAAGTTTTCTGCCGTTGGCAAGGGTGAACGAGAGCGCGAACGTGAACTCCTTTGTGCTCTTTCCACACGAAGTGATTGTACTAAGAGATTCATACTCTCTTTTGAGTGCTCCTGCTCAAAACCTAACAGGGGATCAGGTGAAAGTTCGACGGGAGACTCTGTTGGATTGGTTGTACGACTTGAACTGGAATCTAAGCCCAGCTTTTCACCTAACTCATCATTTTGCCGAATACGTTTTGTACGTCGAGTTTCCAAGCTACGTTCAATATTATCTGGTGTTGGAAGTGGTGAACGTGAATGAGATCTAGATTGTCTTTCAACGCGCAATGTTTGTACTAACAATCTCATTTCATTTTGTGAATCAACTTCCGATCCTTCTCTACTATTATTTGGAGAGTCGGCGACAATTTTCAATTGATCTCCAATTGTCTGAGACAATTTTACGCAGTCATTTTGTAAAGACTCTATAAATTCCACCACATTTTCCTTAGTTAGCTCTGCCTCCAGTACAGAGCCTGTGTCATCATATACTTCCAAGTTCTCTTGTCTGTCTTCATTAAACATAAATTCCACGTTCTTAGGTAGCGGCGTACTGGGCTGTGAAGATGCTGGAGAGGCCTGACGTGATGTGGAACGCGAGCGGGATGGATTCACCGAAGCGGTAAAATCATAAAAATCACTAAGCCCTTCCATCACAAGCCCATATTCATCACGCCAAGGCGCAATGTCGGGTGATTTGTCAACAGTAATTGATGGCGTAGAAGGCGTGTTGGGTGTTAAAACTTCGTCTGCAGCGACCGATTGGTTAGTCTTGTTCCACAATTCTTCGTACTGATCCATTTCTTCAATACGCGGGCTGCGTCGCAAGCGCGGAGAAGCAGATTTACGTCCACCCGGAGAAGCGGGCGATACTTCGTGTGTGATCTTAAGCTAATAAGGCGGGAATAGCAGCGTGTGCGAAGCATGTGCATAATTGCACGAATGAGTAAGCAAGATAGTTAAGCAAAAGCCGTTAGTTTTAAAAGCAATAGATGGTCATGTGATTGAAACTAAATGATGAGTGAGATAAAAGCAAAAAAACTTACATTCGATTGTATGTCTGATCGCGTTGGTTCAACTGAATCTGGCTTCTGCGCTGCATTGTCCTGAAAGCAATAAATGTGTTTGGAGATAATTCTCAATATTGAAAGTAAAATCAATTTTACTCACCTGCTCTTCCTTCGTCTGCTGTCGCTTGATGGCTGTTATAGCTTCCTCGTTTTGTGTGTGCGTAGCCTCCTCGAAAGCAGCGGTTTGTGGCACATTTCTAGCATTATTGTCCTTCTCTGTTTCGGTTTTCTTGGCTGGATGTTCGAGTTCGATGGCTTCCTCATCGATGGACATGGACTTCTCATGTTTCCAGAATGGCATATCCTTGTAGTGTTCGGGCGTAACTTCGCCCCACGGATTGGTATTCGCCTCTTCATCAAGCATCTCTAGTGAACCTCGTACATTGTTGTCGCTCGGCTTGGCGTCTTTCGCTGGACTACGCTTGTGACGTCGCCGAGGCATTTTTACCTTCAATAACGGTTCACTTGCGTACGTGATTGGTGTGAAATCAGTATCACCCTCTTTCTTGGGTTGCAGTTCTTCCTCCTCCAGCGATGTGAACATTTTGACTTCCTCCTCACGTGAGGCACGTGAATCAAATGATGAATTCGAACTGCCACTGGAACGACGCTTCTTAAAGGCTCGTCGCCGGCCAGAACCATCCTCACGTACCAATGGGCGTTGCTTGATGCCATCTAGTGAGCGCAAGTAGTCTTCAGTATATTGTGTGGAGGTTGCAGTATCGTTTTCTTCACCACCCTCAGGTTCTTGTCGTTCCAATTGTGCGAATTGCACATCTATTTTCTGCTCAGTTGCTGTTCCATCTCCATCGATGTCATATTCTTCTGATGGTTGTACGCTGAACGAACTCTGTGGCTCAAAAGATGGAGTATCATCGGATATACTCTTAAAGAGCAACGGCTTCGTTGTTAAAGAATATGGTTCATTACTGGTTTGCCCAAATTGTGTTTTAACCGTCTGTGTCAAACGTTCGCCTCCACTGTCTGAGTTGTCGGAGAGTGGGCTCATCGTTTTTTTGACGCATGGTTCTTCGAAAACTGGAGATTGTGGTGCACTCTCGGTGGCTGAGAGACGACGTTGCTTTTGCACGGTTTCCAATAATTCTTCCATTTCATGGTCGGCTTCGAGAAACTTACGAGCATTCTCTTCTATAATTTTTTGTCTCTCTAAACGCTCTTGCGCGGCACGCTCCTCAAATTCTTTTTCGCGCAGATTACGTTCGCTTTCAGCATCGAGCAGCTGCATTATGCTGTCTAAAGTTTCAGCTTCGTCTGTCTGTTTAGGATTCGAGCTTGCATATACTTCGTTTTTGTAAACAGAGTCTTCCATGTGCTCTTCTGAATTTATCTTAGACTCCCATTCCTCGAGTTCTTGTTTTCTCTGTACTGCTTCTCGCAGTCGTTCCGCTTCAAGCAATTTTCTTTCGTTTTCAATTGCTTCGTCTTCTGCATCGATTTCTTCTTGATTCGCTCGTTCCGAATCCTCTATTTCCTTTCTAAGCTGTTCTAGCTCCCGTTGCTTCTCCACTTCTATAAGTTTTATCGTTTGCTCTTCAGTTTCCACTGACTGATTCTCAATATCTTCCTCTTCTTCTGCACGTTTCTGTTCTGCTGCCGCACTTTCTGCTTCTAGATGCTGAAGTTTCTCTGCCTCAACCGCAAAACGTGCTTCTTCTTCTTCTTCTTCTTGACGCCTAAGTGTCTCTTCCTCAGCTCTTAAACGTGCGGTTTCTTCTTCCTCTTGACGCCTAAGTTCCTCTTCTTCAGCCGCTATACGTGCTGCTGCTATTTCTGCTTCCTGTCGCTTAATTGTCTCCTCCTCCGCTGCTTTACGTGCCAATTCTGCTTCTTCTAAGCGCTTAAGTTCCTCTTCCTCGGCTGCTCTGCGTGCTTCTTCTTCTTGCTGACGCCGCCTTTGTTCTTCCGCTCTTTTGGCTTCTGCCACCTCACGCTCTTTACGTTCATTTTCTTCAGCTTCTCTTCTGCGCTCTTCTTCTTCGCGCAGTCGCTCTCTTTCTAAAAGCTTGCGTGCTTCCACCGCTGCTTCCTTCTGCTCCTCTTCTCTCTTCTGTTGTTCTTCGCGCACACGTTCTGCTTCCAATAACTTACGTTCATCTTCGGCACGCTGTTGCGCTTCGAGCTGTTCTGCAGCCTGTTTACGTTGTTCGGCTAATTTGGCTTCAGCCTCAGCCAATTGCTTACGTGTCTCATCTTCTATCTCCTTCTGGCGTCTTAATTCCAACTCAATTTCTTTTTTACGCTTCTCACGCGCTTCTGGTGTACTTTGTGCCGCTTTTAAGCGATCTCTCTCCAGCTGTTCGGCATCTATTCGAAAGCCGTCTTTATAGAGCACACCATCTTTCATAACTTCGGTGCCAACTCGTCGTTCCTTCGATTCGGCTTCGGTCAATTCATTGCGCATACGTTGCTGGAGCCGTTGTAGACTTTCTGCATCATTTTGCGTTGTATTCATGTGACCGCAGCTCCAATGATATAAATGACGCACGACATAAAGGAATTCCAAGGCGCCGGCATAACCGATCAGTACCGAAAACACAAGATCACCAAGTTCGGGCAACAGCTCATCACCCATTTTCGCAACGGTTTCGTTTTACAATGACTTATGTTCGAATTTTTGAGTCAAAAAATATGTGCCAACCAAAAACTAATGACGTGCGTGACTCCCTACTAAGTAGTGTAAGTTTTGTTAGAACTAGTTTAGGAGCAAGCCAACAAAAGAACACTTTCTGCGACCTTGAAACGCGCACGCACAAAATTTATAATTTATTTTGTTTAATTTTATGTTGCACTTGAGTATTGCACGCCAGTAAAAATGTTGTATGCTTTTGAAGAATTATAAAAAGAAAAGTGGCGTTCGATATTACAGATCCACACGCAATATTAAACTGCGTCGTCGTTCGAATTGAGAGCGTCAAGCAGCCACTAGCGAGTGTGGCATCCACAAGGTAATAAGAAATTCACCACCGCACCGAACTCACTGAACACTTTCCGGTTGCAGCGCGCTCACGAGCTGCGCGATACTCCGACAGGCCACAAATCGTTACTAGCGCCACCGGCTAACTAGGCAGCTTTACACTGCTCGTTCGTTGGCTGCTTGTGCGCGTAAATATTATATAAATCTCACCACACCAGCTCCGTCGTTTCACTGATTGTGTAATTCACCAAATGAAAATTTTTGAATTTTATTTTTCATATGCACAGATTTTATTTTTCCGAAAATATGCACACAAAATACACTTTGTATCAACACATGCGACTATTTGTACGGCACTTTGTTTTATTTTTCGCGAAAATTCAAGTGCGAACGCCTTGGAATTTCTTGGCACTAGACAAGAAAAATATGGACGCTATTTATGAGTCGTAGAGCACTTTGTATAGACCTTCCACACCCGCGCCACACTGTATAGCGCGTCTTCAAGGTTAACACTTTGCCATTTGTGTGCCACAATTTAACAAATATTTGGAAATTAATTGTGATTTGTTTTTGATTTGCTTTCAAAAATTTAACAAGCACCGCAACGAAACGTCCGCAGCTGATTAAGAAAGAGGACTTCTGCGAGATCCACTGCTACGGCTGCTTTGACCACGAAATATTTGCAGCAATGATATCAGAATGGCTTGCCGAACCGTTAATGCCACTAATCGAAGTGATGATATCAGCGTGAGCGGCCAAAAAACCGAACTGCGGAGCGCAGCGCCCAATTTAGAATGTTCAGCGTAGATTAACGGCCAGCGGCAGCTGGTTGCAGTACGCGAAAGTTGCGTTCTCAACAAATGCAAGCGAAAGTCATAAAAAATAAATAAAATAAACGTAGTGAGCAATGAATCACGTCGCCGTCGAGTGAAACCACAACAAACCGCCGCCGTTGTGCGCCGCCAAATAGCGTAGCACCGAATTGAGGAATGAGAAGTAGCGCTGTATAGATTTCAAGAGATTAGCGAATTTGCTGCTGAACTGCTTATGCCGTTCGCTACGCGTATTTGTATAAAATCAAACAACAACAAAAACGGTTATTGAGTATTGGCGCCCTGTTCTAGTGCCAGCGCAAGTAGGTGCTAACTGACAGTCCAACGCGTAACAACTGACTTCAGCCGAATTCCGTATGCTAAACAGAATAGAAGAAACGCATTGTGGGTATGTGGCATATGTGGCATGCCACGCGTCAGCAGATTCGAAATAGAAATGAATAATAAGTATTTGCACTGCTAAAAGACAAGAGTGGCACACAGACTGCGCGGCAACGGCAACGATTAGTGGTGCCGACGTCATCATCACCAAAGTACGAAGTCAATGCTCAATGCTTAGCCCATGGCATGGGTCATCGCAAGCAGTCATAGCGCACAGCTGGTTGGCGTCATCGCTGGCACTTTTTTAGTTTTTTTGTTTTCCGTTTCTTGCTGTTTTCGTGCTTTTCGCTTTGGCGCGAAATTCTGCTTCTATTTGTTGTTGACTTTTCGTGTTTTGAGACAATTCGTCTTTCGAATTGTTGTCTCAAATGTATTTGTTATTTTTTTTTTTTTTTTTTTTTTTTTTTTTTTTTTTTTTTTTTTTTTTTTTTTTTTTTTTTTTTTTTTTTTTAGCTGCCTTTTATTTTGATGCGGTTCAGGTGACCCAAATGGAAATTTGTAAAAGCCACTGTTGAGCAATATTAAGGGCAATAATTTTATGAAGTATGAACACAAAATAGTTGAAGAATTCTGAAATTGTGAATGCAAAATACGTATATCAGGCCGACTCGCGCCAAGGAAACTGAATGAAGCCGTGAGTAAAATCGACAAAAACGGGTTTAGTCTTTTAACACTCACTTATCTACAACTTCAATTCTCGTATCTGATCGGCGGTATCAAATCTAAATTAGTGTGCTCCGCAATCAGTTTTACCCACCGCCGGTCTCTTAAAAAGCTACATCGATCTACGGATTTAAAAAAATCGATCTGTTTCATTGTCTTATTAAATTTACAATACCTCTAGAATATTTTTCTAAATTTTCAAGTTGATCTGAGTAATCGTTTCAGAGACACAGCCTTGAGATTTTGTGCGTTCGAGGCTAGCTAGGCTAAGTGCGTCGTCTTTAAAAGCGTTTTTCTCGAAACTGTACTTTTGAAGCCAGTTGGCAAGATTTCTCGAGAACTACTCAACCGACCTTCATGAAATTTTACACAGGTCTTTGAGATACAATTCTTAAAGATTAAAGGATTTTTTTTTCGATGATAACAATCTGAAAAAAATGTCCCGAAATTTTTACTAAAATTTTAATTTTTTTTGTAAAAGTGTTTGCCAAATATCCAATTTTCAGTTTTTTTTCCTTCCTCCAAGTTCTAAGTTAAAGTTTTAACTAAAACACGTATTTTGCACTTCAGATGATCCGGAAAAGAGTTATCCTACCAACGCGGGCGCTTCTTTTTTCCGAGAGGTCACCGGGAATGGCGTCGTAGTAGCCGGGTTTAAAAAACTGTTTTCCAAAAATTTCGGAATATCTTTGCTAATAGCGAATGTTTGTAGCAATAAAAAATTCTAAAAAAATGTTATATTTTAATATATGAGAGAACAATTTTTGACAAAAGGTTGCTCTATATCCGAGAATATCCATGCAATCTCTTTAACTTGAACTAATATTTTCGTGCATGTCTGCATCAAGATTACTACAAATATTTATACAGTTTGCCGGACAACAATGTAAGCTCGGTGATTTCCTGCTGTTTCCAGTCGTCAAATGCGCTGCTATGCGCCCACTCGCAGCGACTGTCCTTCGGTTACCTGCACCAAATAGCTTTATTGCCATCGCATGGATTCAATTTATAGTCGTACGAATATGATATCATCCAAGATGAGTAAGTACTCATACATATACTTCCTAGCAATTGCTGTGCGTAAAATAAAAAGTGGAAACGAAACGATTGTCGGTATACCACAATGTTACCAAACTGACTGACTTTTAGATAGGTTGGAGCATTTATTGTGATTCGCCAAGTTTCACTCTTGTTGTGCGTCGGTGTAATCGTTATTTTTATTCCTTTGGGAGAATATGCTGCAAACATTTGAATTAATACTATTTTGTGTACACTCTTATAATGACGGCGAACTTATAAACTTTATATATAAATGATCATTTGTCAATACCGGATATCCGATGAGTATAGCAAAATATTGTTATACTGACTTTCGAACTCGACTCCTTGTATGGAAAACTTTCCTATTTGACAAGATATCTTAACGATATATGACATGGAGTTTTACTCAAAGTATCGCTATAATATCTGAAGAAACTGTTTAGATCGAACCACTATAGCATATATGTAGCTGTTATACAAACTGACCGTTCGAACTCGAATCTATGCATAGAAAATTTTTGGATTTGACAAGATATCTTCACAAGATTTGACACAGAATTTTATTCAATGCCTCGCTATAATATCCGAAGAAATAGCTTAGAGCGAATTACTATAACATATAGCTGCCATACAAACTGGTGGATCATAAATTAATTCTTGTATGGAAAACTTCTACATTTGACAAAATATCTTCACGAAATTTTGTACAGAATTTTATTCAAAGCGTCGGTTTAATATCCGAGGAAATAGCTTAGATCGAATTACTATAGCATATACATAGCTTCCATACAAATTGGCCGATCGAACTCAAGTGCTTGTATATAAAACCTTTTTATTGCTTGTTACAAAATAAGCAAGGACTTCTCGTGATGTGGGAAAGCTTTGACAAAGTAAACTTTGTTTTACAAATATTTTTGATTTTATTTCGTAACATTCACATTTGTCTGTAGTATTGTTAAGAGTCGGTAAATAAGTTAAATATTATAGAATCATACTCTATGACTCACTGGCGTTCAAAAGGTAATCCCAAATCGCTGCAGGCACAAATGTGTAATTTTCAAAATATATAAAAATAAGTTCAATAATAGTATTTATACATTAATGTTTAAAGAATTTTTCAAGGTCTATGGAAAGTGTACATCATAAGGGCTAGTGTAGGTAGTAATCGCACTCTGTACAGTGTTCTGCAGCAGCAAGAAGCAGAAGCAGAAGCAAGTTGGCTGAACTTGAAAATGCTGCCATTCACCACATGAGGTTTACGGCGCTGACTGATGAGCTGTTGCTACTTCATTCGAAATTTTAGCATCTGATGTAAACAATTACAAACAAGTTGTGAGCACTGCTTAGGTAAATAGAGATGCATGAACTCACCGGGTACCCTTCAAAAACGCTACACATACTATATACATACATACTATATAGTATGAATTCAACGTGGAGAAAAGTATTTCGTCGAAAAACAAATCCATTAACACACATAGTTATTGTTTCAAAAATATCGTAGAAAACTATATTTTCAACATTTAATAACAATTTCAATGGTGAGCGAAGTGTGTCGACGGGCAGAGCTAGGAAGAGATATTGCAGGTCCAATGTACATTTAAATATACGTCAAGATATAAGGAAAAGAGCATATGTTGGTTGTGCGGTGATACAATTTTGAATAAATATTTATATAAATTTTTAGGAATTTACATTATTATTATTGCATTCAACAAAATGAAAAGATAATGCTAAGACCATAAATAATCTCTAATTACTTAGAAAGAATTTCCACACATTACGATGTTATGGTAATTTGAAAGTAGATACAACCAAAAACATTAAGTCGATTCATGTATTCTCATCGAGCCATCCTGCTTAACATTCTGATGAATTCAGGTGCATTAATTCTTTGCATGCAAGAAATGCAGCGAAAGTAGTTTAAAAACGATACTTAATCAAAAACGCTAGAGGCTGCTTCATATGTAATTCGAAACAAATCATTATATCGATTTTTGTTCTAATTGTGTATGTAAAAATTTTCCATACAATGATAAGTTTTTCGATTGTGTGAGAAATATCTTTATGGCTTGTCAAAAATCTTTACGTTTTTTAGAATTGTTTGTTTTGTTCTTCAAATTCTGCCAATGTGTCTGCTTTTCAATATACCGTAAGTACGACATTCGTAGCGTAAACGGGGATGTGATATAGCTTAAAATCGAATTGTTTTCCAAAATATGCAAGATCAACATTTTTGACGTCCGCAAAATTGGCAAATCAAGTGGAAGATTCAGAGTGAGGAAATTGGGGAAATTTACCAACGGCAATATAAATACAAATAATAAAGAACTTGAAATAGATGTTGCTTTCAACTCCATCAGTGATATCTTCGATTGACAATTTTCCGCGGTTTATCTCCAAGTATAAATTTATAATTGGGTTTCTTTGTCAATATGATATTCAAATACGCTGCTTGTAACGTTCCAAAATCGAACACAAAAAGCTGAGAAACATTTTCGATCCATTTATTCAGGTACGAAAAAAATGGCGACAGAACTAAAAGTTGACGAAGAAACCCCAAGATTCTGCGGCCAACAAACAAAACTCGAAAAATTCGGCGTGAGAACTTGCGTTGAATACTACAGGGTCTCAGTGTATATTGCTCTGTTGGATACAATCGGCGCAGTTTTAAAGATGCGCTTTTCTAGAGAAGAATTGAATGGATTTCAACTGAGTCTGCTGCTTCCACAGAAAAAATACGTGCTTTGAAAACTAAAGAAATGGAAAATATTATTAACTGCTTGATAGATAGATTCTAAAGTCTTTTGGATACTGACAACGTTGTCCAACGTTTGAAGCTCAAAGGTGGACTTGATCACTGGCAGTACCATTGGGGGCAGAAGCCAAAGCCAAAAGACAACAAGTTACCGACTTCTGCATTGGAAACGTTAAAGAACTGCGTGGTAGACCTACACCCCACAATTCATAGTTTTCTCCGCTCGTTCTGCGAATGCGAGCTCTGAACGCTATTTTTCAACACTTCGTCGCATGCAAACGTTGCTGAGGATGAACATGCTTCAAGAATGC